ACATAAACCGTGCTTCATCTTTCTTCCCAACCCACCAGGACACACACACACATGCATGCACGCACGCACATACAGGCACACACATGCAGGCGCACACACACATATAGGCACACATACAGGCACATACACACATGCATGCACGCACACGCATATAGGCGCACACACACCGGTCGACAATGATACGGAGAGATCACTGGTTAAGGTGGTTTTGCCAGTCCTTTCCACGTGCCTAAAATTTTTAAATTGTTTGAATAGATAACACATCTACATGGTTCAATAGTCAAAATCTCCCACAGGCATCGGGTGAAAAATCTCCCCTTTACCCTGTCCTCTCTTGGAAGACAGTGTTGTCAGTTTCTTGTGTCTCTTTCCAAAAGCATGTTATACAAGTGCAAGCAAATTCAGGAAATGCTAACTTTGCAGTCAATTCTTCACCGTTACCTGTTCTCTGCTTAAAAATACAGCATGGATATTGTAAACAGGATTCGTTAAAATTAATTTACATGAAGCTATTCTATGTTAACAAATGAAAGCGTCTTTCATTCTTTTTGCAGCTGCTTAGGATTCCGCTGCATGGGTGTGCTGGAAAGCAAAAAGCAAGGCTGGCCGGTGATTGTGATGCTTTGCATCTGTGTCCTGGGGTCCCTCATGTGTTGCTGAAGCCATTCCCCTTGACTCCTTCCGAGGCGAACATGGACGCCCCTCCTGCCAGCTCTGTGCAGGTGTCTTAGCTGATGTCCCCGGTCGGTCACTTCTCCCCAAAGTACTACAACAGGACTTCATGCCTGAGCAGCTGCGGAATGTGCCCTGAAGAGCCTGCATCAGTACCTGCAGGTACTCTGGGTTTCGCCCTCTGGGTCTGAGAGCTGTGTGCGTGTGTGTGTTATGGGGGGTAGGGATAGTGGGGCTCTGTCTTCCCTCCTCTCCTCATAGGGGACCCACCAGCATCACCCAGGCCCAGACAAGAACTTAGGGTGTGACAGGCAGCTAGCTGCAAGGCCCACGGAGGTGTTAGCTGTTTACTCATGGGCAGGAGGAAGGGAAAGCACAGTACCTACCCCCTCTTCCTGCCTTTGGAAACACAGCTCACTGGAGCTGCAAGTACAGGCCTTCCCAAGGCCTTTCCCCCCGTTCCCTCCAGGGAATGGCCGGAAGAAGTTGGCAAACTGAAGCTGGTGTGCCCTTTGGGGCCTCCTAGAGGACCAACGCTAAGTCCCTCCCAACATGGATAACTGGTACCCTAAAAAGAGGTTGGAACCAGGAGGTTCCTTGTATACTCCACCTCTCACCCAACATGCCTGCATCACTTTGGAGAAATGAGGCTTCTCTTTAAGAGATGGAAGGAAATGGATTGCCTCGGTGATCCTTGCATGGCCCCAATAACCTGCAGCTAACTGGACATTTCCCCTGATTTCTATAGAAAACACGGCATGGCCCAGTCTATGTGGCTCAGCAGTTGAACATCGACCCAGGAGGTCACAGTTCAATTTCTGGTTGGGACACATGCCCAGGTTGCTGGCTCAATCCCCAATAGGGGGTGTGTAGGAGGCAGCCAATCTCTCTCTCTCATCATTGATGTTTCTGTCTTTATCTCTCCCTTCCTCTCTGAAATCAATAAAAATATATATTTTAAATAACAATAATAATAATAATAAGAAGAAGAAGAAGAAAACACAGTGTGACTAGAATTTTAGTGAATAAAAAAGAAACATTTCCAGGAAAGAGAATTGGACTCTGAGACTTCGATTGTTTCCTTAATCTACACACAATCAGTGAACCGTGTTTATTCCAGATGTAGGAGAAGAAAATTTCTAAACAATTATGTCTTCTTCTCAAGCAAGTCCCCAGACACTGTCTGGTTTGATTCACACAATCGAGGCAGAAGGAGATATTGCTGTTGCCATTTCATAAACAAAGTAACTGACGCTCCAAGGGGCCAAGGGCACAGCCCGCAGACGGGCAGGGTTTGGGTTAGAATGTGTCTTCTGGCAGTTTCTTCCTCCGCTGCATCCTGCCTCTCAAGGAGGTGGACTGGGGATAGCGGGGAGGAAAGCTGGAAATTCCCACAACGTTTTCTGCCTGGGTGAACCAGAATCCCCACCCTCAAGCTCTTGGCCTGGGAAATGGATCTGTTGTGTCTACTCTTTCCATATCCGGCCTGACCTGCTCTGTGCACATCTCTAAACCCACGTGTTGAGCAGGGTGCCAAGATAGTGAGGCCCTTCAGGACCCCACCTGGTCCAGGTGTCTGGGATGATGGATGAGGGTCCCAGGAGGGGGTGTGCCATCCAGCCCTTCATTAGCTAGTGCTTGCATGGGCCCCGTTTTTGGTGCTGTATCAATGTTCTGTGTCATAGGCCAGAGAGCTCCTGGCTATTTTCGTGAATAACTCTGACGCCAGGCTCTAAAAATAGGCCAGAGAGACGGCCATCTCAGACCCAAACGCTTGTCCCGGGGGTGGAGTCTGTCCAGAGACACCGTCTGGTCACTCCTGTGGGGTGTGTTTCCCCTTTAGCATGGCCTCCCCAACCACAAGCGCACAGCCCTACAGCGGGGGCGGGGGGAGACCGGGGCGCGCACCCAGCCAACCTTTCCATCAAGGCCCCTTTGTCTTATCTGCCCCCAAAGATGCCATGCTTTGAAAGGTAGCGCCTGCCAGGAAAACGGCACTAGGTCATAACTGATATGTTTTTGCTGTTATTTTTATTTATTTTTTAAAAAATCAATCAGAGACCATGCCTGCCCATTTAGAGATTTGATCGGAATGGTAACAGGGGTGATTTAATGCTTTTATAAGGGGATGAGACCGGTGGAGTGTTCGGAGTTTTGTGTAGGTTATAAAATACACACAACGTAGAATTGACCATTGTCATGATTTTGAAGAGTACAGTTCAGGGGCATTAAGTGCCTTCACATTGTTGTGTAACCATCACCACTGTTTCCAGAACTTTTTGAAGCATCCCCGACTGCAACTCTGTACCCATTTCAACAGCTCCCCATCCCTCCCAGCCCCTGGCACCACCACTCTACTTCCGTCTCCAGGAATTTGACTATTCTAGGCACCTCATCCAGAAGGAGTCATACCGTGTTTGTCCTTTGTGACTGACCTCTTTCGCTTAGCATAACGTCTTCACGCTTTACCCGTGTTGTAGCATGGATCAGCGCTTTGCTCCTTTTTGAGGCCGACTGTATTCCATTGTATATGTATACACTGTAAGAAATGGACCTCTGTGATCCATCTCCAGCACGGTCGGCTTCTGATGGAATTTACTGAATGTCCCGGGCGTAGCGGAGGGGGAGGGAAGAATGGAGGGAAGAGGGAAGAGGAACAAAGAACTGCACACTGGGCCAACAAGGTGGAAACCCCCAGGCATCTGCCTCAGCTGGACAGGGGAGGTGGAGTCAGCTAGGAAGGCCTTCGCCAATTTTTTAAACGGCCCAACGGGAGACAGCAAGACCTGGGCCACGTCTGAGGAAACAGGGACCTCATAGTACCCAGCCAATGAGGAACCAGAGGTGGGACTAACTAGATGGGCTATGGGCCCTGCCTCACATATGTACCTGTACAATGGACGCCTACTTCCTCTCGAGTGTTATTAAAAATCTCATTTTCGCCATGCTTCTGTTTCCCAGTTCGTCCTTTGAAATTCGGACAGGTGAGCCCTTTCTCACATAGACCACATTTTGTTTATCCTCTTGGAGGAGGCAGTTTGATAGGCATGAGCAGAGCAGGAACAATGGGCCAGGTGCCTAGCAACAGGCAAAAGTACAA